TGCTCTGACCACCTCTTGAACCAGTTGGTTCATTCCTGAAGCTCTCCTTTTTGGCTCTGTCTGGTGGTTATGAAGCTTGAGGGTCAAGAGCTTGAGCTCGTCCTTGGCAGGCAGCCATGTGTGCACAGCCCCCCAGCACCCCGTTAAAAACCAGGAGGGGCGGTGGGGAAAGGCGGTGACCTGGTTACTGTCACCCGCTAACTCTAACTCGCATTACCTGTGGCGCAGAGGTGGCCCAGGCTGCGGTGGGTTTTGCGCCCGGGGCTTAGCGCGGCGTGGAAGCGGTGTCGTCGTGAGCTGCTGTGGGCAATAGCGGCGCAGCCCCGGTGCCAAGGCACTGCCTTCCCGGAGCGAGGGGGTCACCTGGGACTGACCGAGCGCTCTCCTGCCGCCCGAGCGGGGCGCTGCCGCTGCGTCGCAAGGTGGGAATGTAACGTGCAGCCCTGCTAAGGCACTGCTCGTGTTTGACGAGGGAAACCTTTCCTTTGGAGACCGCCGTGGGTCTGGAGGAGGAGACTCAACGACGCTTTGCAGGAACAGAGGTTGCTTTTGTGTTCAAACTGATTTAGGGAGGTTTTTCTGAAAAAAACCCAAACAAGCCGTAATTCCTGTCATTGTCGCTTTATCGCATTCCTTCTCATTGTTTCAGGTAGAAGCAGGAGAAATTTTACAATAGCAATTTATTGTGCATGTAGTAACTTTTCTTATTTTGCAAATCTGAATTTAACAGGCTCTGGAATCAAAGCACCGCTTCAGTAGCAGAACTGCTAGAAAATGCTTTTAAGTGACTGCATATGAAATCCATATTCTTTAGCTTTCAAAAAATCAAGTTTTAGTTTTGTGCCGACAAGCAAGGCCTGTGCACCGCCACGCTATCCTCCTGGAAGAACGGGCTTTTGTAGCCAGAAATGCACCCACAGCCTTGTGTGTCTTCTCTGCAGTCTACGCTTCAGACACCCTCACTAGGAATTAAACTAGTTTGCATTCAAATGGTAAATGAGCAGTTAAATAATTCTTGGTTTTTCAGAAAAAAAGTGCTTTTAAATTGCAAAGCAGTTACGGATGGTTAGTGGTATCCACCTCCAAAGTTGAGCAGTTCTCTCATAGAACCCTTACTGAATTCGTCAAAACAAAAAATGCTTGCTGTCTTTTTTCTGACTGATACCCAAACCCTACGCCATTCTGGGTCACGAGGAATTGGAATTATAATCTTTTGCTGAATGCCAATGGCTTTTTGGGTTTGCTGTGAGAAACAGAAACTATATTGAATGTGAGAAATTTGTGCTCCCCAGGGGTTTCCCGGAGCTTATGGTTTTCTGCTCAGCTCTGTAGCTGCTGCTGGAAACTCCAAGGTGAGAGTGGGTGGGAGACCCCCCCCCCAGACCTGAGTAACTTCTGCCTTTTGGAGGTTGGTCCCTCCTCTGTAAGTGAAATCAGCTTGCTTTGGTTTTGTTGTTGTAGAACGTCATCTTCTGTAGTCTTGTCTGTATCCACAACATTGTGCTGGGAAGTCTTCTCTATGCTTATTAAAATAGTGTTTTAATTTCATCACCAATCTGGTGCTTACTGGGGGAAATGGTTGATGCAGTAAAAGGGTCGTGAAGACTGTAGTAAAAATAAGGCGCAATATTGCGCTTTCCATCTTGAATCTCAAAGTCCTTTGCCATAATCAGGCAGGAATTTGTCATTAAGGTATGGCAGTGAGAGCTCAATTTTCTTTGTGGGAAAAACAGGCTGTAAATTGAGGGGATCTGAGCTTGTATTTCTGTGTCTTGCTCCAGTGAGCTCTTCCCAACCCCCAGGCTGTCCTTTCCACCATCATCACTCCCTCGTGGGGATTTTCTTCTCCTCTTCCTTTCGACCCTTGGAAAGCATCTGTGGATGATGCAGCATTGACTTGTAACCATGCATGATCGTGAGTGGGCTACGTAGTTTTTAATAGAAATGCTTCCCCGCCAAAAGAACCACTGAGCTGTAAGAATCGGAACCCAGCTTCTTATTTTTAAGACGTTATAAGAAAATAAACGGGATATGGGAATATATGTCGTGTTCTTACAAAGATGAATGATCAGCGTGGATTGCTTTGGGAAGCAACAGATGACATCTTGAGCGGTGGGACAGATCTCAGACCGCTTCTGAATGATGTGATCTATTTGTGCATTGCTGCTCAGATTCGTCTGTCTTTTCTCTGGAACCCGTTAGGACTCCACGAGCTAAAAGTGAGGTAAAGTCGTTCCCTTTGCGGATATTTGTTGTAGAGCGTTCTGCAGAAATACCTCCACCTCAGCTCTGCTGAAACTCTTGTTTAAAAAAAAAAAGCATGTATTCTTCAAAATCATTTAGGAGTCTCTGAAGAGTGTGAGGCACCATTAAAGGTTGATTTTGCTCATTCTTGAGATAAATACTATTTTTGTGCTTCATCTTAGATTGACGCTTACTTATGAACAAATGAATCAAACATTTATGAAGAGTAATAGTAAAAATAAATTGACTTTTGAAGGAAAGTTAGCCAATACAGGAATTGGAATTGGGGTCTGTTTGAAGCTAACGATAAATCAGCAACCTCAGAATTTAATTCTCAGGGTTATTGATTAGCTTGAGGTATTGTATTGCATATTTCAGTGTTTCTGTTGCCGGCTTGACTGTGTGAGTACAGGTGAAGGCACCCTCGACGGGCCGTTAGTAGGTGCTGACTGTGCAGTGTCAGCGGCCCGTGTCCACGCTCCGCAGGACGGTGCTGGATCCTTTACCCATCGCCACCCTGTGCCCCTCTCCCTGCCGGCCAGCCTGCGCCCCCTTAGATACGGGGGGTGGCGCTAGGGGTGGGTGGCCTGAGCGCAGTGGTCCGTCACAAGTACAGTCGCTGCTTTACTGCTGGTGATTCTGGAGACGTACTGCTGATAATGAAATGTATGCTAGTGGTTTTATGGTAGCATTATATACATATACACTCACGCTCCCTTGCTTATTAGTAGTAACTTGTAATAAAGAACGGTTAAGAAACAA